GATCTAGAGAAATAAGGTTAATTCAAACCTCACTAGTTCCAATGGATCTACTCTAAGACTAAATCCAATTCTGTTTGTCTATCGAAGGTCTGCAATTATGGCAGACAGAATTCCAAAGAACTATTGTACAAGTTTGTATTTTTCATAGGAGAAAATCTGTTCCACACTTTTTTACAATACAAGCTGTGTGTTATTTTGGCTGTTTCTTGTAACCTTGCCAAACCAGAGGCATACACATGTGAACTCTAACCACCTTTTCACCTAAGTGTATTGAGGGTTTGTGTATATGTCAGCTATGGAAGCAGCATTAGGAGATCAGGGACAGCACCAATCAATACTCACTGAGAGAAAGATGTGCAAAGGGGGTGCTAGACAGAAAATGTGCCTCACATACCTGGAGCAAGTTGCGAGCAAGGCGGGTTTTCCCCGTGTACAGCAAGAGCAAGTGCTGGTTCAAGACGTGGACGAAGCCTTCCGGCGGGGTGATCTCTTCCACTTCGACCTTCAGGGGCAGCTGGGCCTTTGAGCGCCCAATCTTAAGCCCTGGGACCAGGCCCCCCACCTGGTCTTGCCATCCGCCACCTGAAAAGGAGAGCGCAGGAGCTCAGACCCAGGCAAGGAAGCTCTGAGTCCGGGAGTCTCCGCTCACTGCTCCACAGCAACCGTTGGAAATGGGCGAGAGCAGCTCCTCCGTCTCAACTCCCCTCTCAGGTAAGAGGGGAAAGTTCCAACAAAGTCCTGCAACCAGGGGGGAGTGCGAAGGATGCACTGTCCCGGCCAGAGGCCAAAGAGGCATTTTCTCAGAACCTGGGAGTCAGAAGGGAAGGGGCCTCCAGACACATCTAGTCCAACCCCCAGACTGTCCAGGGACCTCCAGGGAACATGCAGCTGGTTCTGTCTTCCCATCATGACCTTTCTTCTAATGCATACTGTAAGCTGAATCTCGTTCCCCGCCTTTTGGTATCTGGCACTCTTGGTCCTGCTCTCTGGGGCTGTGGAGAATGAGTCCACTCTATGGGATAATGCTTGCTTCTCTGAAGGGAGCCACCTCATCTCCCCCCCCCCCCCCCCCCCGCTCTTCAGCTTCCTTTCACTGGTTTCCACTCTTACGCATCATCTGGCCTAAACTCTCTTCAGGCTGTCAGTGTCCATTTTAGACTCTGGTGCTGAGAACCAGGTGGGATGTTCCAAGTGGGGCCGGTCTGAGGAACAGGGTTAAGTAACAGGCAATGGCTTCGCGTGACCCGTGAATACGTCCAAACGGAGCCTTTGCCCTTTTTAGCAGCTGCAACACCCGGCAGACTGATTCTCTTCTCCTCCCGATGCTGGGAAGGGCTGCTCCAGGCAGCAACAGGACAAGCCCCTTACCTGTGGTCAAAACCTGCTCCAAGTGTAGCACAGCATGAATGAGGGAGTCTACACCAGCGCAGCGCCCAGATACGCGATACAGCGCCATGATCACTGCGCCTGCCAGGATGCTGCTTGTCCCTGGGGAAGAACACAGACACGGCCTAGGGAAAGAACCCGCCTTGTGCCCCTCTGCACGGAGGTCCCAGAGGGACCATCAGATGGTGTGGGGGGGGGGAGAGAATTCGGAGCCCCCCCTTTGAATTCTCAAAAAAACTCAGAGCTGGAGGGTCCCAAGGGGGAGGCGGATCATTTGGGGAAAGCTTTGAGAGGCCTCAGAACGTTCCCTGGAAGTAGCTCTCTTCACACAATGGAGGGCTTGGCGATCAGGGCAGAACAGGAAAAGACTCGCCTCAAAGTCTGACATGGAGGGGGTGTGACTGGGCCGGTTGAACCAGCTCTTTTCAGAGGCGGGGAGGCTTCTGCCATAAAGGAAAGGGGAAAGAGGCGGCTTCTGCCATAAAGCACCAGTCCTCATTCCCTGCGTTCCCCCACTCCCAGGTCAGCCTGGCCAGGAACCCGATGGACTTCTGGAAGGGCCTGAAGGGCTGGTTGGCTCATGGCCCTGCTTTCCCAGTGGCTGCTTCGTGGGAATCTTGATTGGTCTGCACTGTTTTCTTTCTCTGCGTGGTTGTTTTCTTTGGGGGGGGGCGGAGGGTGGTCATTCGGCACTGTTCATATTTTAATTGTAAGCTATCCAGAATCACTAATCTGAGATGGGCACCTGGAAGGATGGATGGATGGATGGATGAGGGGTCCTTGGTGCTCTCTGAGCTCGGTTGTTTTCTTGCAAATGTTTCATTAGCCAAACTAGGCAACAGTGGCCAGTGCTAGTGCCAACAAGCTCAGAGAGCACCACGGACACCTCATTTCAACCCTGTGCTATAAATATTCCACTTTATTCGGAATGAATGAATGATAAGGTAAAGAGAAGCAATTTCCATGGCTTGCTTGGCCTCTCAACCAACCCACAGTAGGCTGCGAGCCACCACCTACCCAAGCCCGATCCATGGGGCAGACGAGACCAGGTGTGAAGCTCAAGGCCACCTCCGAAACGTTCTTGCAGCTGTTCTCGCAAGGTTTGGGGGGACAGGAGATTAACAATGTGAGTGCAGACCAAGGCTGCTTTGAGCAAGGCTCCTGGAAGAAGAGACGGAGTTGCAGCAAAGGCCAAGTGGGCCAAGCTCCTCAATCCTGCCCTGACCCTTTCTTTCAGAGCCCAGGTGCAAGGGAGCCTGAACTGAGGAGCAGGCAAAGACCATTGGCCAGGAGTCGCCCCGAAGGTCCAGCCAAGACTTGAGAAACAGCCTGAAGGCTTAAGATGCAGTGAAACTGGGCGGGGGGGGGGGGAGAGTCTCCCCCGCTGGGCCACCACCAACATGACAACGTTTCAGAGAAGGAAGGACAGAGCCAATGGGCACGATTCACAGTGCCTCTCAAATGGCAGGAGAACCCAGCCAATCAGGCAGTAGAAATGTCCTGGGTGTCATTCAGGTTGGGAGAAAATGCTCTGCCCGATGATATATTCTATGAGCATCTTGGCTAACTAAGACACAACTTCTCCAGAATCCAGAGGGCATCATGGCAAGCGGCCCACCCTTTAGCTCCACATTCCGAAGGTGCAAATTCTCACCTGGCATATGTGGCTGGCAGTAATCCCTCAGGTCCTCTAGGTCACGACAGACCAGCTCCACCACCACCTCTCCCTCCAGCCTTCCACTGGTGCTGATCAGTTGCAATTCTGGGGTGGCAATGCGTCGTGCCTGGGCACCAATAGGCCTGCGGCCGTCCACTAGGACAGCCACATCCACCACTGCTCCACCGTGTTCATACGTGATTGGAGGGGTATCGCTCCAGCCCCCTAGAAAACACTGGTCATGTCACCAAAGATCATCAAGGCAGAACCCACCGACCAAAGCTGAGCTTCTGCGCCTCTTTTACAGCCGGTGGCATTTCTTGGCTCAAGCCTCTCCTGGGCACACGAGGCCAGACTGATCCAGTGAAAGCCAGGAAGAATTTGGAGGCTACGGGTCATCAAGAAGGGCCGGGCTGGGCTGGGCAGAAAGCGAATGCTCTGAAGGGCACAGGATGATTCAGAGTTCTTGCTGCCCTTGTCCACCAGCAAGAGAAGGTTGCTAGCAAGGGAAGGCAACTGCGGAGCCCCCACTAACTATGGAATTGGGGGGAGGGGTTGAAACAAAAAGGACTCCCCTCTTCATTCCGTGTAGAGATTTGCACACTGTGAAAAGTTGAGGAGTTTCGAATTGCCTTCAGCAAGACTAGAATTGGGAGAAGGAAGCCTGGAGAAGTGTTAGCCCTGGGAGTAGGTCACATTCTCCACAACCAGCAATGATTGTTGGGCTTTAAGGCAAACACAAAAAAGCTATGAGTAAACCCAGAGGGGAAAAGATGGAGGAGTCCCTGGGGAAGTAACGGTTTGGAGGCGTTTCCTTTCGCTGCACTTCCTGCCTGTTGCCTCACGCAGGAGAGGACAAAGCGCTAGCCTGGATGGAGGACAATCCTTGGAGATGGAGGGGCCTGAATCAGGCATCTTCCAACCTTGGTCTGCTCAGGGCTTGGGTACATGCCAACCCCCCCCCCCCCCCCCCCCCCCCCCCCCCCCCCACTAGTTAAGCCAGCTGCCCCCAGGCCCTCGCTGCCCCAAGCTGCAAAGCAGGCAGATTTCAGCCAAGTGTTTAGTCAGCCAAGGGACCAGTCTGGGCCCCTGGTGGGCCAGCTCCTCCCGGCAGGCATCGCCAGGTGCTCCGCTCTTGCCACCTACCGGAGAGGTCGATCCGTGCAGGGCACTCCACTCTCACCCAGCAGCCCAGGGGAGGCAGCTCCTCCTGCCAGAAGCTGATGAACTGGCAGGAGACCAGGATGGCCCGACGGATGAGGATCTGCTCGGCCCCCTCGTAGTGTCGGGCAGCACGAACCAGCAGGATGGGTCTGCAAGAGGAGGGGAAGCAGGCTGTCAAAAAGCAGAGAAATTTCCCCAGGGCCACTGGAACATGGCAGCCCTGCTGGGCCCCTCCAAGAGCCTCCTGGCTGCAGGGAAGGCTGGCAGGGGTGAAGCATCCCCCCCCCCCCGGGCGGCCCCCCCCCCCCCCAGGGGGCCCGGGGGGGGGGGGGGGCCCGGGGGGGGGGGGGGGGGGCAGAGCCAGCTGCCTGCCATTAGCAAGGGGTCTTTCCAGGCAGCTCTGGGGCCGGGAGACAAACAGCCCCCCCCTCTGCTGAGACTGCCCTATACCTCTGCCCCCCCACCCCCCGCCCTTCCAGTACCTGCTTAGCCACTTCTTCCTCTCCACAGCAAGAGCCTTTACACCCTGAGCGATGTTTCCCTTCTCCAGTTGCTGGAAGGCAGCGGCCCAAGCAAGGTTGGCTGTGGGGCCACTCCGCAGGCCCCCCTCCCCTCTGGCCATGCAGCCCAGGAGATCTGCGATGCACGCGAGGGCCCGAGCAGCGACCCCCAGATCCCCAGCAGTGGCAGCCACTAGGGAGGAAGCAGAGTCCAGAGGGGCTGGGAATTCTCCCTCTCCTGCCCCATTGGCACAACCCCCTGGGGAACTCAGGTCACCCCCCCCCCAAGTGCCTGGGCAGAGGGCTGGGCCAAAGAAAGCTCTCCCCCCAACCAACAGGGCGGGCCTAGCAAAGGAGCACGCTCGGCCTGAGATAGAGGTCGGCAAATGGGGGGGATTCGTGGGCACCCCGCTTCCTTACCCTGGTCCAGAATATCCAGCAGAGCCTCCCCAAAGCCCTCCAGGATGGCCGAGCGGACCAGGGGCAGGAGGCTGCAGTTCCTCTGCTCCGTCAGGACCCGCTGGATCTTGCGCTGGGCCTGGAGGAAAAAGTTGGCCCTGCGGGAGGCCAGTTCCGCCTCCTGGTCCAGACAGGCCCTCATCTCCTCCCAGGACAGGCGCCAGGCCCTCCTCCAGGACTGCAGCTGCCGGGTCTCTGGGGAGCCCAGGAGCCACAAGAGGCCCCCGAGGTCCAGGGGCTCCGAGGCACAGAGCACAGGGAAGAGACGGGCGTTCAGGAGGCAGCGCTTGTCCGGCGGGACATCTGGGCTCCACAAGTCCTGGCTCCTGCTCAGGGGAGGACACAGGGGAAGCAGGTGGCAGTGGCGACGCCAACACTCGGCTCCTGTCCCAGAGGAAGGGCCCTGAGGCACGGGCCCTTCAGCAGGTCCCAGAGGAGGGGCAGGGCTGCCTTGCTGCTGGGGGCTAGGCTGGCCCCCCGAGAGCAGGGCAGAGGCCAAGGCCAGCAAGACCCAGGGCCCGGAGCCTGCCAGCCTCCCCCCCTCTCTGGCCAGGACTAAAGATGCCTGTTTGCTAGCAAGCATCTGCATGAGCAGAGAGGAAGATGCAGCAGGACTTGGCGAGTGTTATCTCAACCCCGCAAAGCAGGGCTACCAGAACCCAAACAAAAATGTGTCCCAGGTGTCTCCCAATCACTGCCACAACCACCACGGGCCTCCCTTATTGTTGGCCTGAGATTGCATGGTAGGGTGCAACACCCCCCGCCCCCACCCCAGTTTCTCTCTGAAGTCCCTACTGCACTCGCAGGGGTGGGGTTCCAAGAGTGGGCCTGGGAGAGAAGAGGGTGGTTTCTGCATGGCTCTGCCTCGTCCTCGGAGGACCACTGGCTCCTCCAGGGGCTAAGCAAGTCTGCGTTCGCTGCAGGCTTTGTTTCACTCCTGAGTTCTTCTGAGGTTGAAAAGAGACCAGATCTGAGCAACATCAAATTCAAGGCAATCTGGCCTTGCAGGGGCCAGAGCAGCCCCTCTCCTGCAGTGGCCTCCAGGACAGGCACACGGACCTGTTCTGGCCCTGCAGCTGCCCGTCCAAAGCCCTACGCAAATTAACCCTGGTTTCAACAAGAACCCCCCCTGTGACCGCAGCTTCCCTGCCTGCGAATGGCTGGACATCCTGCTGCTCTCTGTCAGCCCCCGTGGCTGGCTCAAAAACAGGCAGCATCCCCAGGCAGGACTGAGGTCGTCTCTGGAGCCTCACGGCCTCACCCAGATGATCACCTACCGTATTCCAGTCCGGTGGTACAAGGCTGCCCAGGGCAAGTTCAAGAAGGTGCCATTCTCCTCGGTCGCTGTACCCAGTGGAGAACCATCTCTGGCCTCAGAAGTGGCCACCCCCTCGGGAATGTGTGGCTGTCTCTGCTGGGAGAGGGGTGGGCTTCCTTGTGCAGGTGGCCAGCTGCTGCAAGCACAGCCTGCTCGGTTACGAGGGCCAGGGGCCTGATCCAGCCTCTCCACGTGCTACTAAAACTCTTGCGTGTGTAACCTTTACCTGGATGAAACCAAGCGCCCTCGGGCAGAACTTTTTCAGCCAAGGGGCTCCAAATTGGCAAGCTTAAATAAGGCATCCAAAATCCATGGCTCCCTTGGAAGTGAAATTTGGCCATTTTTACAAAATGTTTTATGAGATAAAAGCTATCATAAAGCATTTTATGACCTAGTATTGACTACACTATAGACTTTGGCGGTGGCTACTTTCAAGGCAGACACTATGAGAAGCTCTGCCATGCTTGAAAGCACTGGAGCTTCTGGCCAGGACATCTCTCTGAAGCCACCATTCTGGATTTTGTTTGTTCTGACAGAGTCAGCTCAGGGGCTGAGAAGGTGGGGACTTGCAGGAATCTTCCAGAAGCCTGGAGAAATTCACCACACAGATGAAAAGAAGCATCTTACACCCACCTGCCAGTCATCATGACGTCCACTCAGAGTGAATACTTTGCAGCTCAGGTGTCTCAGCCGGATCACGTGTCCCTGAATGACCACGTCCTGAAGTAAGTGGCTTCTGAGGGCCACAGAGGAGGCCACATCCAGCCCAGTGAGGAGGCAGCCAGAACGGATGTGTAAGGGACCCTGACGGAACACCAGGCAGCCGTCCGTCCTTGCTCAGAACTGGTCACACAGGTCCTGGCCAGAACTGGACACCTCAGTCCATAGGATTTGCCTTGGTGGCACCGCAGCTGCTTTGCATGCAGGCAGTCCCTGGCTCCTCCGAGGAAGGCGGTCAAAGCGCCTCTTTAAAGAGACAGGCAACTCCCACCCCCCTCATTCTTAATGCGGGGGGGGGGGGCTTCTTGCAGCCTTTCAGTGTAACAGCCCCCCATCGTGGGCCAGACCTGCAAGAGAGCCTCCTCCCAGGGGGTCTCTGGGACAAGCAAGACAGCAGCCCAGGATGCTTATGGGCTACAGCCACAGCTTAGCTGCATGGAGGCATCCCTTACAAGGCCCCCTGTGCCTGCTGCGCCCAGGGGCAACCTCGGATTCTGACCCTTCCAACGTCCCAGTCCTGCCCCACATCTGTGGGTGATCTCTGGCCCCCATTCCGCACCCGCCAGAGGAAGTCCAGGAACACCTGGGAACAGAGACCACCGCCCACCTGCAGGCAGCAGTGCTGGATGACGTTCCCTGGCCCCACAACCACAGCGCCCTCCAGCAGGCAGTTGGTGACAGAGCAACCTTCCTCCAGTAGACGCGGCTCCTGCGTGGCAGAGAAGGGAAACGCCAGGAAACCTCTGCCAGACGGAGAGCTCCGGGAGGCACCGCAGGGCCCGCTATTCCCTCCGCCCTCCCCCCTCCAGCGAGAGTGGGAAGAGCGCAAGCTGCCAAGAGGGAATTGCCTCCCCAACAGGAATTGGGGCACAAGGAGGTTATTCATCCCAATTGCCACGTAACTCCCCCGGCCTTCGGACTCCGGCCACTTCTGTCTCCTAGCCAAGAGGCCACATCCACGAGGAGAAGGCTGGACTGACTGACTGACTTACTTCCACACTAGAATGGGCCACCTTGCAGAAAGCCCTGCTGTGGGCATCACCCAGCTGAGGGGTCAGGCGGCAGATGTGCTCCCTCGCAGAGGAGGTCATGTACTTATAGGTGCCATCAGGAAGGTAGGCTGGGAAGAGAAGGACTCCGTGAACCTGCCAGCAGCCGTCACCGGCTCCAGGCCCTCAGGGGCCCCCAGTTCTGCCTGCCAAACTAGGGAGACTTTGTCCCTCTCCCCCTCCCTCCCCCCCCCACACCCCCAAGTGGGGGTTCCAGATCCTCTCCTCTCCTCCTGTCGCTTCAGCCACCCGGCCAGGCGTGTGACGGGAGACTCACCCATTGTGAGTGGCACCGTGCGGAGAGTCTTCCACAGCACAGTCCGGGCACTCCGAGCTGCCCTGGAGCCCTGGGCATCTCCTGCCCCAGCCCCTGTTTTGTGACCGGCCACGAAGGCCTCCTCCGTCACTGCCTGGGCCATGCACAGGAGCAGGTCGAAGAAGAGAGACAGCTGTGGGGAGAAGAGAGTCGGCAGACTGGCCGTCGCCCCGGGAAAAGCAGTTGCCAGGCTGCTTGGCGAAAGGCAGAGCCCCTCAAGGCTGCCCTGGCTCCCCCCTCCTCTAGGAGCCTGACGGGCCTCTCCGGGGAGTGGGAGGGGGCCCTTCCCCTTGGGTTCCCCAACCTAGGGGGTCTCTCTCCTGGCATCCCCACCTGGAGGGCCGGGGCTCCCGAGTCCAGCCCCATGTAGGTGCAGGCATTGAGTGGGGGGATGACGTGGGTGGCCAGGAGCTGCTCTGCCGCTCTGGAGGAGAAGAAGACGACCCCGCACACCTGCCGGGGGGGAAAGGGAGGGCAGCTCTGGCTTGTGGGTCTGAGGAGGCCGCCCCCTCCCCCCCTCGCCCGCCACATCCCTGCACACATCCCTCCAGGCTCACCAGGGGGACCTTCCCATCGGGCCCCAGGCATCGCTGGATCTCCTCCTCTGAGCTCTGGTAGAGGATGTCTTGCACCAGCCCCTGTGGACGCACAAGGGCCGAGTCGGGCTTGGCTGCTCCTCCTGCCAGGCCCTCTGTGCGTGTGTGTGTGTGTGTGTGTGTGTGTGCGCGCGTATGAACTGCAGGCCATGGCTCCTCTGGCACTGCTGGCAGCCCGGGGGGGGTGAGGAGGGGCAAAGGGGCTGCACCTTTCAGGCAATCACTGCTGGGCCCATCCTTAGGCTGCACCCCGGACCCCAACAGGCAGGAAAGAGCCAGGAGGAGGGAAGGCAAGTGCTGGGGTAGGATCCCAGGAAGAGAGCAGGGGAGGGGGCCCACGCCCTCTCCTCCTTGGCTGGCACCCAGAAGAGCCACTTCCTTTTCCAGGCAGCCCAGCTGCCCCCTTGGGCCCCACTGCCGCAGCCTCTCGCACAGCCTGGACTCCAGACTGCTTGCCGGGAGGGCAGGAAGACCGGCACTACCCCGGGTCCCCCTCCCTCCCTCTGGGGGCCGTGATCCCTTCGCTCGTGCCAGGATAAAATCCAGCTGTTCTTTAGACGTGGCTTGTGCCCTCGTGCAGAGCCTCCACACCGGGCTTTCCTGGTCTCTGCGTTGGCCGAATCCCTAGCAACTAACTGGGGATTTTTCTCACGGCGGAGACAGCGGCCTTCGTTATTTTGGACTTCCTTTGTGTTCTTCTCTTGTCATTTTAGAGAGAGAGACACCTTTTCGAATCGCACAGGGAAAGCCGGGGAGAAGCCTCTGCATTGAAGATTATGAGGCACAGGAGGGAAGCCCCCCCCCCCCCCCACGCCTACATAAGCCATCTTCCTGGGGGGCACCTGAGAATCCACCGAGTAGACGCCATATTGCCTGGCATAGGAGATGCTGGCAGGCACTGCAACCACTTTCACCCCCTGGAAGTTCCGCCAGTCAATTTCTGTAGGGCGAAATGGGCTTCGTCAACCCTCCAGCCCTCCTTCCGAGAGCCGCCAAGCCCCACAGATCTTCTGAGCAGGAACCAGGGCCCCAAAGCAGGCCCTTCGAGGCCAGGGGGCCCGGCACAGGGGCCCTTCCCTCCTCCACCGGCCCCTCCCACTCTTGCCTCTGTGATGAAGGCAGGATGAGGGGCCCGTGGGCACATCCGGCCCCTCTGCAGCAGAGGGTTCCGTGGGCTTGCAGGTCACCCCCTGCCCTGCGGACAGGCTCACCGGGCATGGCAGGGACCGTCAGAAACATATCGGTGCTGGAGACCCACACGCCTGGGGGAGACCCCCTGCAGACCTGCAAGGAGGCGAGAGGGGGTTAGCACGAGCAACTGGGCAGCTCCCCCAGAAGCCTTCAGAAGGGAGAGGCAAGTCCAGCTGTCCCAAAAAACCGGTGGGGGGGGGGGAGCTCTCCCTGCCCAGATTATCTTCAGACATTCAGGGCTGCTTAGCATGGTTGATGCTTCTTCTGTGGGTTTTTACGGATTACCTAGATTAACATGTCCACCCCACCGGCATGTAACTCTGGCCTGCAAATGGTCAATGAATTGACCACAATAACCATTAAAATGAGTTAAAAGACCAGGAAGCCATCATTGCACCAAACAGGGCCAAACCCCGCAATTCCCAGGACCTTCTGCATTCCGGAGAGAGGAGCGCCGTTCCATAGGGTAGTTGCTGCGACAAGGGAGGCTTGCTTCTTGGGCCCTTGTCCACGCCCCGGATAAGAGAGAGGAACCCGGGCACGCCTCCCCCCCAGGCCCCGTGGGAGGAGCCCAGCCACAGAAGACAGGCACGCCCGCCCAGAGAGGGCCCGGAAGGGCCCCAAAGGCATCTAGAGGTCCCCTGAGAGCCAGGGCAGCTTGTGAAGCCAAGGGGCTGCACTTTGGACCACCTGCAACTTCCAAGTAGTCTTCAAGGGCGGCCCCATTGCAACCCCCAAACGGGAGATCAAGAAACCACAAGTGACACCAAATAGGACCCCCTAGTCTAGGAAAGTTTCTCGAGGAGGGGTCCAATTCTTATGTGCAAGTGGGACCCTCCCCCGGCTTAAGGATGAATTCACCACGACTCTGACCCAACTACCTGTCGCCTCTTAGGAGCTAAGCCAGTCAGGATAGATGGCTCTAAAGCCCGTGTGGCTGATCTTATGGGACCCACCGGCTTCTCTCAGATCTCCAGGCAGAAGCCCACCTCCACAGAAGCCCAGGGGCTCCGCTGGATTTGCACATCCAGAATGGATCTGAGGACTCCCCACAGCAGCCCTGCCGTGCCCCGACTCCCCTCTCCTCAGGGAGAACTGAGCCACGGGGGGGGGGGGGGGCGCGTCGGTCGGGTCCTCCTTCCCAGCGGGTGGCAGATGCTTCCTCCGCCAGCCCTCAGTCTCTGCCACCACTGCTTCCCCACGGAAGAGCTCCTCCAAGCGGGGGGGGGGGGGGCTAGTCTGCAGGACCCACCAGCAGAGAGAAGCCCCAGGCCAGCCCTGTCCAATCATGCCAGAGTCTCAAGAATCCCTCTGGATTCCAACGGGATCCACTTGGGCCCAACGCCCTACAGAACATGACGCCCCACCCCACGGCGATCTCGTTACAACAAGGGACTCCTGTTAATACTCCCCCCCCCCGATCCCATCTCTGCTGCCTCGAGGTAAGAAGAGATCCGCTGCAGGACCATTACTGGGAAACCCAGATTGCAAGTGCCAATTTGGCAACAGACCCACAGCTCTGGCGTGGAAGCCGCTTCCCAGCTGAGCCCATTTTGCAAGCATCACCAGTGCCCTGCAAAGACAGCCCCCCCCCCCCCCGGGCAGATGGCCAGCGCCACCCTCCACGAAGGGCGGGTCTCTGAGAAACAGCCTCCCAAGGCACGGCTGGCCCCACCCACTGGCTACTTTCCCAAAGAACGTGGTTTGGTCAGCTGGGCTGGGGAGCACGAATGCCGACGGCACCAACGGAGCGGCTGGTTCCATTGGGCTGCTGATTTATTGATTTATTTGAAAATTTCATATTGCCACCTACTCACTCACAGCAACTCAAGGTGGCTTACAGGAAATAAAAACAGAACATAAAAGAAATCAAAATAATAAAATAACAACCCCCCTCACCCCACTCCACCTGCAGCGACCACACACACTTCTACCAGCCACTGAATGGGCTCCATCCCCTCTGCGTCCCCCAGGCCCCCTGGCAGAACCACGTCTTCAGGGCCTCCTGGAAGAGGGTTGGGGGCCAGGCTCACTTCCGCAGGGAGGGAGCCACCCCAGAGAAGGCCCTTCTCCTGGGTCCCGCCAGAGGTACCTCCTGAGGGGACGGGACCCGCAACATGCCTTGCCTCCCCACTCTAGTGGGAAAGGGGACGGCAAGAGACGTTGCTGTGGCTCCGGGGAGGGTGGAGTAGGGGGCTTCAACACAGGGTGGATTTTTAAACATTTGCCAGCCACTCGGAGTCACCTACGGGAGTCAGCTGGCTGTATCCATTTGTCACATAAATAAGCTTGTGTCCAGCTGGGTCACCTTATGCAGGCCTGGTTGCCCACTCGCTGCTTTCAGGCTCCAGGCATAAGCCTGCCAAGCGAGCTCCTTTTGAAGCCTGCCAGGGCTGACTCGTGAGGAGCGCCTCTATCTGCCAGCACAGACATCCAGCCGTGTCCCTGTTCCTAGCAGAGCACAAACCTGGTCGTGTCACAGCTCCCGTTCGCATCCCATCAGGTGCACGGAGGGTGGGCTCCTGCCTCCTCTCCTGGAGGGGCCCCAGAGAGCTGGGACCCTCTTTGGCCCCCTCTCAACCCCTGCCAGCCCAAGGGAGGGTCGGTCTCTCTGCAACTGTAAGCCCCCTTCCTCTGGGCAGCAGGTTCCAGGCAGCTGCTCTGGCTCTGTCCGACCTTCGCTCCCCCCCCCCCCCACACACACACACTCACTTGCTCTGTTAAGGTGGCCAGAAGCTGATCCAAGTGGCAGGTGAGGACCTCGGTGTGGGCCGCAGGGTCTTCGAGAGGGAGGCAGAGAAATGCACGGCTGCAATCATCGAAGAGAAAGTCCCGGCCCTGGCGGGAGGGGGACACGTCACCGGATGTCCCCATTGGGAGGAAGCAAGCCTAGGAACCCACAGGCTCCATCATCCTCAAGCCCCACACACTGACACACAAGTGTGTGTGTGTGTGTGTGTGTGTGTGTGTGTGTGTGTGTGTGTTGGGGAGCCCATGCCAATCCTGGCCTGCATGGCTACTGTTCTGCTATGATCTCTAACTTTGCTCCTCTTCTGAACTGACCCGCTGCTTCCGATTCTCCCATTTGTTCCGGGGACGGCGGTGTCCTTTGGCCTGACCAGAGGCCCAGGGCAGGGTAGGCTGCCTGGGGGATTCCCCACCCCCCCGCCTGGAGCTCCCCCATTCTCTAGTGGGAGCCGGGAACCTGCCTCTTCCCAGACAGGCTAAGCAGGGATCCCACAAATGCCAAATCCAGCAGAGCAGAAACAGAGTCTTGGCTCACCATGTGCAAGACGAGAATCCTGGCCTCCTGCAAGACGTCAGCAGTGACAACCTGGAGCAGCAGATAAGAGAGACCCGAATGTGCTGGGCCAGAGGCAGCTCCCATCCCCAACTGGGGTTCCAGGGATGGTGGGGAGGGGTCTCACAAATGGATTCCAAACCCACCGGAGGAGGAGTGCAGCTACAGCTGCTGTGCAGAAGGCAGGTTTGGCTGACCTGCTGGGGTCCCAGCTAAGCTGAAAAGCAGGCGCTAAGGGGGCAGGTGAGCTGGGGGTGAGGCAGGAGATGTTGGGGGCGCTTACCGTATGACCGGCCTGAGCACTCAGGTGTTCTGCTGCCACCAAGAGAGCATTGAGGGTAGCCCCTCCGCTGCCCACCTGGGCTTTGGGGTCTTCCACAGTGAGCAGGATGGTCTCCCGGCCCAGGGAGCCTCTGTCTCGGCGGATCTCCAGCTCTGGAAGGCAAACAAAGGGTCAGCCAGTCCGTGCGGGGTGTGGTCAGGACTAGCCAGGCAAGGAGGCCACTGGCTGCCCAGGAAGCTCCAATTAGGATGCCACCAGGGCACCCCCCAAAGGCAGGAGCAGTGAAAAGGCTTCCGGGACACCAAGGTGAGCTCCCAGCCTCCCTGGAGCCCTTTCCTCCTCCTGCCCCTCTTGACTGCGTCACCAAAGGCAGAGCTGATAGAGGGTAGAACCCGTTGGTCCCAAACTGCTTTATTCCCCTTTCCTGCTTGGACCACGGAAACCGGTTGAGGAAAGGAGCAGGGGAGTTCGTGGCCAAGGCCTGGGCTCCTGAGCAGCCACGGTTGCTATCGGAAGGTGCAGAGGACAAAGCAGAAGTGGGCGGCCGGCAGGTTTAGGAAGAATAAGGAGCCGCTTGGGAAGGATGCAGGCAGCCACGCTGGACCAGACCAAGCATCCCCTCCCTCGCGGAGGAAGCCCTTGGGCGGAGACTAGCCAGAGCCCCAGGCAGGACAGCAACCAGGAAGGCAGCTCACGGCTGCCCCCGCCTCCAACAGGGGCTCAGCCCGGGGCCTCTCCAGAAGGGACCCCCCCCCCCCTGAAAGCAAGGAAGCACCAGATCGTGGCCAGCTGGGGAAAGGCGACCTTCCTTTGGCCTCTCGGGGATGCCCTCAAGCGGGTCCCGGGAGGCTGCTGGCCTGGACCTCGGAGAAGGGCTCCTTCTCCCGCAGACCCCCCCCCCCCCCCGTCCTCGCCGCCTTCGCCTCCCAAAGGGCTTCCGTGCCCAGAGGGGCTCCATCCTCGCTCCCTTAAGCGAACTGCGCTGAGCAGCTGCGGGGCGGCTGGAAGGAGAAACGGCTCGGCCTTTTCCCCACCGAAACGGGCCAGCCGCCTCTCACCTCTCTGGAAGGCGAAGGCGCTGTCCCTGTGCTGGCAGGTCAGGACCACCACCGTCCAGTCCGCGGCCATCCCGCCCGCCACGGCCGCCCACGGAGAGCGGCGTTCAGGGGGGGCTCGGAAGCGGCGGCCGGCCAAGTCCAGCGGCCGTGCGCTGGCCTTTTAAGGCGCTGGGCAAGCCGGGAAATGCAGTCCGCTGCTCCGAGGCGGAGTCGCTGGAAGGGGCGGGCGGGAGTGCGCGCGCGTCTCCCCCGCCCCGCCCGGCGCCCGCGTGGCTTGGCAAGGCGGGCGGCGAGAGCAGCTTTCAAGGAGCGGCCCCACTCCGCCCCCGGCTCGCTTCGAAGGGTGACGCGGAGAGTCGGAAAAACGCCCGCCCGGCGGCTGCCTCTTGTTCCCCCGACGGCCGCGGCCACCACGAGAAGCGGAGCGGGACAAGCCGCTGCTTCCCCAGCCTGGCCCGGCTGCATCGGGAGAGGCGTCCGATAGCGGCGTCCTGCCCAGTTCAGCCCCGGGTCGCGCCGCCCAGCCTGCCCGAGCAGTGGCGGAGGAAGGCTCGCGGATTGCCCTGAGCGCCGGCCAATCCCCCTTGCCCCACACTGTACAGCCGAAGCATCTGCTCAGCTGCGGGGGGACCCCGTCGGGCCTGGTGCCCTGAGCAGGAGCTCAGGCTGCTTCAGGCGCCACTTAACAGATAATCAGAGTTGGAAGGGACCTTGTAGCTCATCTAGCCCAACCCAAGCGGGAGACCCTACACCATATTTGACAGATATTTGGCAGTCCGACCTCTTCTTGAAAGCCTCCAGTGATGAACCTCCCACAATTTCCAAAGGCAACTTCTGTTCTGTGGGTTGATTGTTTTCAGTCAGAAAATTCCTCCTTATTTCCAGGTTGAATCTCCTTGATCAGTTTCCATCCATTGTTCCTTGTCTGGCCTACAGGTCACCAATTGGTGGGCCACGGCCCACTGGTGGTCCGGGAGAAAATTTTGGTGGTCCGCAGAGAAATGCCACCCCCAGAGCACCCCCAAAACAATCCAAGTTGCACGGGAACACTGCCACCCACGTGGCCCGCGGGAACCCTCCCCACCCAC